GACAAGTACTTTAATCCACTGACAGTGCCTGAGCCCATGGCAAGATTTTCCTGCTCTCTCGTTGGCTTCTACATTTCAAAGATCTTCACAAAGCAATAGGCCCGCGATGGCTCTGTTACATCTCTTTTGTCTGACCTACATTTAAAATGTTTTGGCGCTGGCAGCGGTTAGACAGGAAAAAACATCATGAGAAGTGGCATGCCGTACAGTCGCCTCCCTTGGGAAATAAGGAATGCCAGAGTCATCATATTGGGCAACTTTTTGCTGAATATCTCACAAAACCTCAGGCTTAATTAACTGTTGAGGACGCAGGTGCTGGGTACTGTCTAATGAATAATCAATCACAGGAATCTATTGACTAACAGACAACAGTCCTCCTTTCTTTCTTTATGTTGATAGAACAGGCTGAGATTCTTTATACAGCCTCCTGGTAGTACATAGATGGAATTGCCCCGGGCACTCTCAGTTACAATTCTGTCACTTTCAGTGTCACTTCTTGAGAAATAAACTAATCCAACCAGTCTGTCTTAGAAAACATAAAAATGTCATCATACAAGAATAGAACACATACATACATACATAAATAACAGACAAACAGTTTTAGGATCATAAATGTGTTTTGGTTTTTTTCTAACAATGCAGAAAGATGACCTTAGATCCACTGCAACTTGCTGCTACCAATTAAAAATGGCAGCTAGATACCCCCTACAACCAATTAACCTATTTCCTAGAGAGGGGGTCTCTCTGCCCCAAAACTGCTGGTCTCTCATTAAAGAACAGGTTCTGGGTAAGGTAGGGGCGACTGGCTGCTTAGGCACAGGATTTAGTTGGAAGGTGAACTCTTGGACCATGTAATCAATCTACAGTGACCAGGGTTAGCGGAAAAAGCAGTTTATTGGACTTTTGTGTGTATTTTGCTTTTAAATACACCAGTGTATACCAAGGCATGCAGTCCTCCTACAGGAGGGAATCCAGTGTAAAATGTTGCCTCTGTGCAGGAGCTTCCTGTTATAAAGATCAGTTACTGCTGCTCTCTCTCTTTGTGCAGGGTGACTGGTCTAGTATCCGCCCCCCTCCTGTAGTTTCCTGCAACTAGCCTTTAGTGGGTGGAGGCTTCTGGGCCTCTCCCACAGCTCCTCTCTCTTCACAGGCGATGTACAGCATCATGATAATATCACTGCTACTTTTATAGGATGCAAAGATTTTTGGTGCCCACAAAGTAGATTTAAATCTTTTGTGTTGCTGGTAAGAGCGTCCAGGGTTGCTAAGAGCTGGGAGGGGAGTTGTGTATGGCAGCTTCTCCCCGTCTAACTCTTAGCAGCCTGGGACACTCTGGCTGGAAAGGGGGTGGCAGGCAGTGCAAATATTGTGAAGCCATGCCGCTCTGCCTGTCACGACCCTACGTGACCCAAAGAGATGCGGCCTGAGGCTAATTATACGGATGGCCCTGGTCTTTAAGATGTCCATACATTTATAGATTTTGAACAAAAAAGACATCTAAGAGGTTCCTCCACTCATGTTAAACAGTGTTGAAAGACTAATCTTCCCTGCTGGGCTATTGTAATCTGACAGCCGACAACTGCCACTGTTAGAATACCCAAACAATGACTGCTGCTGATTGGCTAACAATAATAAACTTTTGTCGAGTCAGAGCGTGCTGGCAAGGCCACACACCGCTGGAATTTTGGCAGAGTCAGTAGGATTCCAAGATCCTAGGAGTATATGGCCAGCTTTATACTCTTAAATACTATTAGTTAACCTATGGGAGTAAAGCCGGCCATACACTGACAGTTTTTTTCGGTTTAGCTTGTTTCCCCCTTCCAGCCTAACAGCATGGATAGGGGAATCCCTCTTGCCGATCTATTGTAATCTGATGTGGTGCTCTGAATACTTACAGTTACTGCAGCTGATTGGCTGTAATCATTGTTTGGCTGAGAATTTTCAGACTCCCAGGGGGCCACACACTGATTGAAGTCCACCTAACTTGGTTAAAATTCAACCAGTTTTTGGCCAACTTTACTTTTTATAGCTTTAGGACATCTTCTAACAGTGGGTTAGATAAGATGGGGTGAGACAAAGTAGCCAGTTTTGATTTCAGAGCCTCAGATAACATTACCAAATGCGGGGGGCGTGGCCAGGATGTGAAGCAGCGCGGACGTGTCTGGAGGAGCTCCGTCGCTGCACTAACGAAATCCGCTCGATATCCTGTCAGTTCAGCCCTACTTATACTCACCTGAACTCCGGTGGGTGTCTGGTGCAGGGTGACATGACCGCCAGGTCCGGCAAACGTACCGACACTCCGAAACGAGGCAAAAAGGCAAAGGGAGCGGCCCCACGCTTGTCCGGTGCCATCTTGTCCCCATCTCCTGTTTCCTGCAAGTGCTCCGGTTCAGCCTGTGGAACGGAGGGAGGCGCTGAGAATCCTGCAGAGGCCAATTCGGATGCTCTGGACACCGCAAATGCCCCAGGTACTGTAAAAGTGGAAACAAAAACCATCTTGGAAGCCATAGAGGGTTGCAAAATCGCCCTCACTGCAAAAATAGATAATTTGGCGGTTGAATGCACATTGATCAGACATGATCTAGATAAGATCAGGGGCAGACTCTCACAGGCTGAGACGCGGGTGTCTGGGGTGGAAGACTCGGTGCAAGATCATGCCACATCCATACAGGGTTTGCAACATACAGTAAAGTTGCTGGCGGCCAAGGTGGACGATTCTGAAAATAGGATGAGGCGGAATAATGTCCGTGTGGTGGGCCTACCTGAAGGAGCGGAGGGCGCACAGCCTAATACATTTGCGGAGGCCTTCTTTAAAAAGCTGCTGGGCCTGGAAGAACTGCCCCCCACCTTTGTGGTAGAAAGGGCTCATAGAGTCCCCACTGGTCGTCCGACACCCGGGAGCCCCCCGAGACCTTTCCTGGTACGCCTCCTAAACTATAGGGATCGGGACCGGATTTTGGCGGCAGCCAGGAACCACCCTGACTTTCGCCATGATAAGTAATATTATAAGTGTGCACATAGCTGCTGTTTTCCAACCGAATGGACTATGTATTCCTGTTTGTGAGGCAGACACTTCGCTTGGGATGGCGGGTACTGGGAGGACACACAATTGTTTAGGGTGGGGGGTGGGGGGAGGGAGCATCGGGACGGGAGAGGTCCCTATACTGGGGTTGTTATATACGTTAGATGTGGTTTGGTTGTTTATGATGTACTGAACTGTGTGCCTTCACGGCTGTGAAGGCAAGATACCATGTTATGCATGAAAATCCAATAAAAAGAATTTACACAAAAAAAAAAAAACATTACCAAATGCCTTTGTGTAATTGATCAAATATTGCCTTAGAAGCTTCTAGCTGAACTCCAGGCAGACACTACAGTTATGTATGTAATAAAAGATTCCTTAATGGTCCATTCACACCAGAATGCATTGAGCGGCGCACACACCTGTTGTTGTCCATTACGGTGTGTTGCATTAGGCATCCAATTTAAAATGAATAGGCTATCAGTGTGATAAAAGCAAGCCTGTAGTATCATTTACAGCGCAGCTTGATTCTAAGAATGCATTGGGATGCCATTTAAAATGAATGTCAGTGCGATGCACTACATTGTGCATGGTGCATTAGTGTGCATTGTGGTAACTTGCTTGTCAAATCCCTGTTTGTACTGTAGTTGTATGATGCTGTTCAATATTCCCTTTTTGAGCCTTTTGTAACATAGCCACACATAATTTAACATGTCTTAATGCCCAGATATGTGCACTTTTAAGGTGTCACTTAATTAGTGTAACTCATTTACTGTACATTTTACTTTGTGGTGAGAAATCAAGTTTAAAGTCCTTATAATTGTTTGATTCCAAGGACTCTGTACTGCTGTAATGATTAAGCATCTAGATTAAAAAGCATTGTAAGTCCACGCAGCCCTTAAAGTAGTCTTATGACAGACAGTGAACTAAGCGTTCTTTACCCTGCCATTTGCTTTAGTGCATTAAGGAGACACTTTGCTCATGATAATAAGGCCATGCAAGGGTAATTTTTTAAGAGGATAAGCTGATGCCCCACTGTGATGGCCGGCAACGCTTTAAGGAGCAACAGACGAGCATCTCTTAATTGCTACGGTGATTAATGGTTGATCCTTGAAAGGGTTAATCAGACCTGGTGAATATGGGAACCCAGACAGCCATTAAGAGAATCTGGGTGCAGCAGATTAAAATGACATGCAGGAGAGCCCTTAGATAATCCTCCTCAGACTCCTACAGGATTTACACTCACATAGGATATGAAAAAGGGGAGAGATTTTCTCATTTCAAAATTAATCCATCAGTGGGATTTAGCACGGTTTAATCTATTGGTTTGCCGGCCAGAATAACTTCCAAGTCTTTTTGGCCTTGATCCAGCCCATCGCTGGACAGAGCATCAAGCATCTCCTCTCATCAGAGAGCTCTCCTAGCAGACGAGGAATGATGCTCTGTGTTCAAATGACTTTTGTCACTGCCTTGTAGTCCTTCCTCCCCCCTGTTAACTTTTGGTTGGATGCTGTTGCTGAGGAGAGGTTTTTTTTTGCTTTGTCCATTTCCAGTCAGAGGGCTGCAGTTGATTCAGGCACACGCCTGCCTCAAGAAGTAAAGCAAAGCAGGTCCACTAGTTATTGAAATGCAGAAGCTCCTTCCATCCCACAAGACAGCCCATTCAAGTCACATGTCGGAGGTCTCCGCAGAATGGGCTGCAGCTGCTTCCAATCTGCTGTGTAGCATCAGAAGCAGCTGGACCAACCTAGTGCCTGTAAGCCTACAGGGCTCAGAGGAGGAAACCCAAAAGATCTGGGATTCGGACACAATGCTGTCTGAGGAGTTATGGCTGGAGAATGAGAAGAACTATACTGCTGTCCAAAAGTCCAAGAAGGGCAGAAAGCACCAGGAACTCCTTGCCCTGGCACTAGGGATGAAAGTGGGGGGGAGAAGTGCATTGTTGTGGCAGCCTCTGAAACTCTTTGCCTATTCGCAGATCACCTCGCTGGTCCGAAGAGCAGCACTCACCCAAAATGACAACCACTGCAACTACGAGAAATCGCATAATTTTAAGGTAAGTGCCCAATTTTATCTTCTCTTACTGTGTTCTACTGCTTGCATATCACTAATGGTTAACCCCCTGTGCACAAACATGAGCAGCTGCTTGCAGAGATGTCTTTTGGACAGGAACAAGCTCTAAATGAACATTTCCATGTAAGAACAAAATTTTGCTCCTTTCCAGTTATTTAAACAAGCTGAGGCATAAGGCAGATCATCGCCTTTGTCTGGAATTTCTTGTTTAACCACTGTGGCCAACTTTCTTCCTTACTAATGCATCTTGCAGGAAGGAGTTATTGGCAGCCACAGACACAACCACATTAGCACTGATCTTAACCCCTGAGCTGCTATGGCAACATGTAAAAAGGAAAGGTATATAGATTCATCTAAGATTCTATTTATGCCTTATGGGTAGAAATTGAACGGCAAGGCCGGGTCTCCGTCAGCTGTTCTAATTTTGAATGAAGCCCAGAATGCAATAAAATGTCATAATTAAAAACATTATTTATATATATATA